GACCGTCCGTCCTGTAGGCGATGCGGATCCCGGGGCGTTCGTCGCGGTAGGCGTCCATCAGCATGGCAGAGAACATAAGACTGAAGAGGTAAGGCGCCAGCCCGCATCCCTGCTTCACTCCGTTGGTCACTGCGAATGCCTCGGAGATAGCTCCGTTGTCCGTGACTCGCGCTATCATACCGTTGTGCAGCTGACGCACCATCTGAATGAATCCCTACAGACAGTCGAATTTCTGCATGATCTTCCACAGTCCTTCACTATTCACCGTGTCGAAGGCTTTCGTCAGGTCCACGAAGGTAGAGTACAGGTGGGTCCGCATCTCCTGGCACTTCTCCTGAAGTTGACGGGCAGCGAAGATCATATCCGTGGTCCCGCAATGGCGTCAAAAGCCGCATCGGCTTTCCGGCAGAAGGCCCTGTTCCAGAAGATTATTCAGACGGTTGAGGAGGATGCGAGCGAAGATCTTCCCGGCGATGTTCAGCAAGGAGATGCCACGGTGATTGTCGCAGACATAGCGGTTCCCTTTTCGATTGTAGAGATGCACGATGGTTGCGTCTTTGAAATCTCGCGGACTTCACCTTCACGCCACATCTTCTGGAAGAGCACAGTCAGGTGATCCATCAGTTGGGTACTCCGTGCTTGTAAACCTCAGCAGGGACTGCGTCCGATCCGGGTGCTTTCCCGCTTAAGAGTTGCTGCACGGCCCTGGTAGTTTCCTGGAGAGATGGCGTGAGGTCGAGGTCCACGTTGGTCTCCACTTGCGGCAAACAGTCAATGGCTGCGTCGGAGATGGTGGGGGGGCGGCTGAGGACGCCTCGGAAATGCTCGGCCCATCGCTGTAGGATTTGCGTCTTCTCAGTCAGGAGAGTGCTGCCGTCGGCGCTGAGGAGGGGAGCAGTGCCCTTTGTCGCGGACCGTACACAGCTTTGACTGCGGAGAAGAAGTTCTTCTACTCGTTGCGGTCCGCATAGCCTTGGATCTCCTCAGCTTTGGGAGCAGTCCAGGCGTCCTGCATCTCGCGCAGTCGTTGCTGAAGGTTGCGGCGACTGCGGTAGAAAGCAGCTTTGTCGTCGTCAGTGGGGTGGTTAACGTAGGCTTTGTGTAGGCGGTTCTTCTCGGCGAGCATATTTATGATAACGGCGTCGTTGTCGGCGAACCAGTCCTCGTGTTTGCGGGGAGCGCGACCGAGGACGGCGAGCGCCATCGATTGGACCGTGTCTCGCAGTTGACACCAGCGGTTCTCCACGGAGGCGTTCTCGGCAGCGGCGGTGTCGTTAGCGGCGGCAGCGATTGGAAGGTTGTCTAACCGTTGAGCTAGCTCACTGCTGAAATGAAGATTGTGAGCGGGCAAAGACAACAAAGTAATATTCAGCTTACCAGGGGGTCGCTTACCTTGTGGTCTCTTGCGAGGCTGAAGGCGAATACGCATCTTCGAGATGACGAGGCGATGGTCGGTCCACTCGTCAGTGTCCGCGATCGCCTTTGTCACCAGCACGTCGCGCTGATCTCGTCTCCGGACGAGGACATGGTCCAGCAGGTGCCACTGACGCGACAGAGGATGCCTCCAGGTGGCCTTCTCTCGCCCCGGCTAACAGAAGAACGTGTTCGTCAGGATAAAGCGGTGTTCTGCGCAGGTGCGGAGAAGCAGTAGACCATTGTCGTTTGAGCCGCGGAGACCGTGGGGACCCAGCACTCCTCTCAAGGCAGTATGGTCTGTGCCGACGCGGGCGTTGAAGTCACCAAGGACAATCAACTTGTCCGCCTTCGAAACAGTCGCCAAGAGGGCGTGCAGGTCCTCGTAGAATTTGTCTCTGACGGCGCCGGGGGTGGTCATGGGCGGAGCGTAGGCGTTGATGATGGTGGCGAATTTGCCTCCCCGCCGGAGAGACAGACGGATGCTCATCAGGCGATCGTTGATGTCCTGCGTCAGGCTGAGCAGTTGTCTCACGATGTCGTTCCGAATGGCGAAGGCGACGCCCGCGTCTCGTTGCTCTGCCCTGGGTCGACCACTCCAGTAGAAGGTGTAACCGGCACCCACCTCCTCCAGTTGGCCTTGTTCGGAGAATCGGGTCTCGCTGAGTGCGGCGATGTCCACCCTGTAGCGCGCCAGTTCTCGTGCTACTAGCGTCGTCCTCCGTTCCGGTCGGTTGCTCCTCGGATTGTCTAAAAGGGAACGAACATTCCAGGCTGCCAGAGTGAGCGGACTCACCCTGCCAGTCTGGCGACTGCGGCGACGAAAATAAGGAGGAAGAGAAGAAGAAGAATAGGCTGGAAGAGGAAGAGAGTGACTGTTGTTGTTGTTTCCGTTTTGGCTGTTTCGACCGTGTGTTTTTTGTCTGCGGCCACGGCCAGCCTACAGACAGCGTGGTTTCCAGCGATCTTTAGGGCACCTTTTCTAGCCCCCTCGCCCTCGCGAGGGCAGGCAACGCATCCCTGTATAGGGCTGCCCGGTTATCCCAGACGGCTGCCGGACTCCACTATGGGCCACGACTTTTTGTTAGTGAGAGAACGACCCGAATTAGCCTGGGACCTTGGTGGTGATGGTGACGTGATGGAGTGAACTAGGAGAGACCATACACAGATCCTAACTATGGGACTTACAGCTAGCTAGATTGGGCAAACAGACACAGTCATCAGTCAGAGACAAAATTGAGGACACCACTCAAAGTCAAGCATCGTAACACCTAGCTATTAGCAGAGAGAAGCATAGACTGACAGACAGACAGTCGCAGCGGGCATCGAGAATTTCCTCTAGCTATTAACAGACAGACTAGCATATAGAGGACAGGCAGCAAGAGCAGCATACGACACGGAACCTCAACTGACAATAGAAAGAAACAGAGCAAATGCACTTGCCTGAAGAAGAACTTACCTGGCGGCCTCCTGCGATGGTACAGGCAGAGCCTCGTCTCGACGATGTCGACGCGAAGATCCATCCGGCCAGCGGAGACCACAGTACCGCGTGTGCAGGTGCACGCACGGATACCCTCACCTGATTTAGCCAGCCGGTCGAGACGATTGCCCGGGGTGTGGCCGCTGAATGTGTGATTCTTTTCTTCACTTTTGCTGTCTTCTAAATTTGTGTCATGTAGAATTTATGCTTTTTTAACTGGGGGATTGTCCTTTATTCCAGCAAAATTTCTGTGGCAATAAAATTACAATAACTAACTATTGTCATCATTGATCGTGTTAACACAATTATTAATTGCGTATTTCGGATCTCGCGCTATGTTATTTCATATTTTTCCAGCTCAGCAGCCTATTTTAACTATAATTTCTTTTATTTATTCACTCAGTCAGTCAGTGTATTCGAGGGAAATAGGCTTACGCCTTTCAACTCCCCATTTGTACATAAAAAATTTATTAATAAGTAAAAATGTGAAGAACTTACAGCATTAAGTAAATGCAGACATGGATTCACATATTTCACTTGTCTGATGGCTAAAAAGTCACATAGTCCGCTTGTTGCTGCAGCATATATCTTTCAAGCTGACAGTTGAATGTCTCCACAAATTGAGACATGACAATCGTCTCGGGCAGGTTATTCCACCGTTCCACGGCACGGTTGGAGAAGAAATATTTCCTCACATTCAATCTACCCTGGGGCACATGCAGCTTGAAGGGCTGTCCCCGCAGTTTAGGTGTAGTTTCGAGTTGGAAAAGGTCGTCGCACCGAAGGGCGCAGTCCAAGTCACGCACGATACGGAAAGTTTGTATCAAGTCTACGCGCAACTGCCCGTAACTCAAAGGATAGAGATTACTGTTAGTTAACATTACATTTATTGTCCTCTCTTTTTAGAGACCTGCTGCAAACAACGAATACTTTTCTACACATTGACTGATGAGTTCTGCGATTGCACAGACTACGTATATTTTTACTCCTTTGTTTGTTATCAATAAACTACTATTTCTCATTTAACTGCGTCCACTGTCCGATACCGTTATGTAGAGGGTTAAGCGCGGATGCACCAGGACGTCTGTGTACGCTTGGGTCACATGAGAGGGTGCCGGTCGACGATGCGCCATGCGTACGGCACCATACTGAGCGCAACAAAGTCGTTATCTTAAAACAGGACGCGGAAAGGCGGAGAGGAGGTGTCCCGCTACGCAATTTTTTCGCGTGAGGGGGCAATAGAGGACTGTGTCGTCGAAAACCCAGCCACAGCCCCGCCTCTAGCCTCTGGATAACCCCTTATCTCCACCTGAAACCCCGCGGGATTTTGGGGTGTTCGGCGGAGCTGGTGCTGTCAGGGTACGGAAAGCCCAGCAAGTGCCACTTCGGTAGGCTACAAACCTTATCGAGCCTTTGCTTGTCAGCCTATTTTCGGTGTGGTTTCTTTCAGCTCCTCCACTCGAAGTTGGACAACCTCTTGTTGCATCACGCAGGGCTTCCAGGATCATACCATATATCTTCTCTTTTTCCCTGCTAGTCTGTTCATGACTTCAGTGTCGCTGCCCCTACCGCATACCCTTTTTCGTAAGCCTCAGTCCACTGTTATCAATTTATCATACTCATTGGTATGATTCATCTTAATTTGCGTGATTCCTAAAACATCGAGGAAACTGAGGATTGATGAGTGATTAGGGGAACTGAATTATTTAGTTAACATGCATTGGTTGTAGGAATCCCAAATATAGCGAATATTCAAAGGTGGTCACCATGGTGGACGATTATAAAAGGAATTTCCAGGAGACCTACATACGAGAGAGAGCCACCACTTATGACGCTCACTTTTACAATGAAATACGTAAAAATTGTTTCCGTTCAATTTAATTACTCACAGCGAGGGATGTTTACATACAAGTTACGGAACTTATGCGATTGTACAAACGGTCCCGCGACGAAAGGATAAGAACTATTATCGTTCCGTAAAGATATTTACCTACTAACGCTTAATTATAGCAACAACGGATTTCGCTTCTGTGCAGATATTATGGCCCGAGCTTACGTCAATATCTGCCCTACTAATGTGTAGGAAAATCAATCATTATGATGACTAATTATATTTGCCAAACTTTAGGAAAAAGATTTTCGTTATAACTGCATACAACCAATTTGTGGCAAACACATTGATGCTTTCATCTTCTGACTGTTTCATTACGCCGTATTACAAAATACCCGTTGACAAACATGGTAAATATTTTTAGAGTGGCATATGTCACCCTATTTTCGGTACAATAATCGCCTTCTGACGAGAAATAAAATAGTCGGATGCCTGGCGGTTTCGCCTATTTGCTTTTTATCTACATAAATATTTGTTCCCTGCCAAAACGTGGTTTTCACATCCGAATTTTTATCGGCTGCTTCAGTTGGATAGACAAATAATTTGCTTTCAAGAAGCCCCAAACATATATATATATATATATATATATATATATATATATATATATATGAAAGTCATGATATTTGACTAAATTTGCATCACCACTTATACAGCACTCTTATCTGACCAGTACTTCCTAAAGCACATTCTTCGAATAGGACATCAACGGATCTCCGTACGGAGGTACGAAATGCGTGCTTCGGTTAGTTTGCTTATCTCACAACCGAAACGCTTCTCTGGTGTTCAAAGTGGATTCTAACCAACAGATTGAGTGAAATGGTGACTTATAGAAAATTTTAATCATACTCTCCTATGGAGACTTCGAACCGGATATATTTATTATTTCGGACAAGATTCTTAGCCATTACTGTTTTTTTCCTTTGATATGCCCTTTTTAATCAGTTATTGTTGATGATTTGTTCACTGTCAAATGTGACCAAAGGGTCCTCTGACCCCGTATGTTACAGTCATTTTTCTCGCCTGCTCTTCTATAGAGGAGGTTTCGAGAAAATTTTGCTGCCCTCGGAACGAAACCGTCTCCTTTCAATGAAAGCATTTTAGTCAGTTATCTTTCATGACTCCATTTTGGCCAAGTCTGAACGGGCAGCATTTGTTGTCCCTCTCGCTGCGTCAACGCAACCAGATATAACTTGAAGACATCCAGTTTAGCATTTCAAGAAAGCTACTTCATGAGAAAAGTCCTCATTGGATCCATTGGCATAGGGAATTAGACCCTACAAAACTTTGGCACATTGCCTTGGCGAACACAGCCACTTCAGGACGTGCGAACAAGTTACATTTACCCAGCTTTGATATCTTGACGGGTGTAAAAATCTGGAGCGCATTCGATAGATTCCTAGCCCTACTGGTCTCTTAGAGAACCTGAAATTTTAAGGACTGCTTTTTAGTTTTCGGGAAACGATTACCCACTAATGCGTCGCATGTGGCTCTGGTTTGTCCTTGAAGGTAAATCCAAACAAATGATTCTTACTGTTAAAGTTTTTGTGCAGCCATTTCTTTGGCCAAAAATATAAATTTTTCGAGCCTTTTCTAATGTGCTCCCATGCAACCCTGTATGATGCCTCATCAATGATTTTACTTTCTCAGCACACCGGTGCCAGCCTGAATACCTGCGTGCCTTTCAGAACAAAATTATCTTGCTTACTCGACGAATGGGTCAATTTTAGAGATTTTCCTATCCTATCGTGAAATGACATAATATACTTTGAAGTCCGTGTAGGTTTTCTTGCATCCGAACTATGTCACAGTAGACCAACAGTCCGGCTAACACTTGCCTGTCACAATAAAAAAAATTGGTCCTCTGAACACGCACGTATGTTTACTCTTGCAACCAGTACTCGAAGAAATCCATCAAACGAGGGAAAAATAACCGTGAAGAGACTCCCGAGTACCCACCGCGTCCTCCAGAAAAATTAAAATTTCGTGTGCAAAATTTGTCTTTCACGCAATTTAAGAGGTAATATTTCCGAAAGTTGGCAGTACATAATTTACATCAGGAGTTAGAATCTGATTTGTACTTGGTTCATTTCAATGGAACTAACAAAACTATCAGA